GAAATCAATTGTTAGGGGTTTTATCCCATTCCAAAAAGAAAAATACTGCCTTTAGCAAAACTGAGCTCTGTTTCTTTTATATACAGAGGGTTGTGTTTTGTTTAAAATACCAATTGATATGATTTATTCAGTCAGAAGTTGAAGAATAATTGACTAATTAATTTCTTTTTATTTCATAAGCATACCTTAAATGACAGTTCCATTTAATACTCTATAAAGAAATGTCTCTTTTTTTTTTAAAAAAAAAAAAAAGGACAAAAAATAGGATGGAAGAAAGCTGGATTTTTGTTCTTAAAAATCGACTGCCTGGAGAGAAGAGTTATGGTGTGGGATTGTCCCACCAAGAATAGCATATCTGGTTGTTTTATGCTGTGCTGGGGACCTTTGGTGAGATCCTGTAAATAAATGTAGAATGAGGGGAGTTCTTACTGGCTTGTATGATTCTTTCTTCTTTATTAAAATGTTTTCAGTTGTTAAAACAGCTAACGTTAGGTCTCTATTGCTGTTACCCACAATGAAAACTAACTTGTAATTAGGGTAATTTAAAAATAATTTCTATGTTCCTGACCTGTTTTCTCTTTTGACGGAATTCAGCAACTGCTGATTACTCTGTGATTGGGTTTGAGGGTATGATTTGGCTATTCCGTGGTCAATATTAATGTGGATTTAGAGGGATTCATCTGTTCTAGGTAAATAGTATTGGATTTTTGTTACTGTATTAGAAAAGGCTGTGTTACAAAGAACCTACAAGTTGGTTAGTCATTTGTTCACTGACAGAATTACTAGAAAGAGGTAACCTTTGGGCTTTTTTGCTTTTAAAGGAATATAATTTTCAAGGTGAAGAGTAGGCAATTTATTTATTTTCTAGGCAATTCTGGGTAGAGAGGAGAGCAAACATTAAATTATTTTAAAATAATGTCTCTGTAGTGATTTGAGAGGTATATGAAACACCTGTTATGAGCCAGTCTTGCCAATTACACTTTTCATCTGGACATTGGCATAACTGGTTCCTTGATGGAGATCTGAGGTGTATGAAGATCTCTGAAGAGTCAGTGCTCAAAACAGGTTTTAAATAGCATAAAAGGAGATCTCCAAGTGCATGGTAAGAGTGTCAAGTAGGCTTAAACCTTGTGTTATGGTATGATCGTGAGTATGAGATGAAAAGTTTAATGCACAAAATCAAATATTAACTTTAAGATGTGATTCAAGATGCAAGATTTTATTATTCCTTTAGATTAGCCTACCACAAACTTCTGTTTAATTTACAGCATTATTGATTGCTTAGCAGAAGATTGTATTTATCTTATTGCTTTAGCAGCCATTAGTTTTGTGGTGAAACCTTCTTGCATATTTTGCTGTCTTTCTGGTTATGCAAGTAATATTCATAAATAAACGTTTAATTCCACTAGAGTTAATGCAGTATTTGCATGTGGTTTATAATATATTATTTGAAAAATTAATGCACAGTGGATTATAGTGTATTGTTTGAGAAATTTACTATATAGCTCTACTGTGTTCTAGGTATCAGTTTGAAATTGGATGCTTCAAGGCCTTTTGTAGTCGCTACCTCAAAATCTCAACAGATAAGATGCATTATTTGCATTTTCAACTCAGTATTGGAGCATGATTCTGGAGAATAGGGGAGAAAGACCCAAAACTCACTACCATGGTACTTTTTCAAGGGAAACGGGACCTCAGACCCTTCTTTGAAAGTCCCTGCACAACGGTGCCAGTGTCTTACAAAAGACCCCTTATCTGCAGTTGTTCTGGAGCTTTCATTTATGAAAGGGCAGACAAATGGGCAGTATTGACAGTTGTTCAACAGATGATGCTTAGACAAGAATATGAGAAGTGCTGCTGGAGTATCACTATGCTTGCTCGCCATTCTGTCTTAGGAGCTCCTGAGTTAGAAATTGCATCTTCAAAGTTTCTCGTGAATCTTCTTCCCTTAGTTTGCCCAGCTGCATGAAACTTTAAGCTTAATTACACATTTTGTGAACTTTTTTTTCTTTGAAACTGTGTTGTTATGCTTTTCTGAATGTCTCATACTCATAGAATACCCAGAAGTTGTTCCATAGTTGCCTTTCCTGTCACTTGTGATCTTGTGGAGGTCTGTCATCTCCTGCTTTCATATGCCTTTTTCTCACCTCTATTTTGGTGGTGTTCATACAGAAGCTGTGCTGTATCTGTCTCACGTTGCCATTTTCTGTATCTCTAGACCTGCTGTATTGCTAAATGAAAACAAACCAGGAGCGCACACAGAATTGACCTGGTATAGGATGTGTGATAGAATTACTTTGTGGTTAATTTTTCACTTTTGTTCTGCATGTCTCTCCGAACAGTCTACATCATTCAGTTTTTTTTTCTTGTCAGCCCAGTGCCAAGAAGCTGTTACTGTCAAAGGCGGCTCTGTTGTAACCCAAAGTTCATGTCCCAGAGTGCTGGTAGTCAGCTCTGGGTCTCTTGCTATATATCTAAATTTAAGATTCCTTATCTATGGCCTCTTTTGACCCTCAGCTTTCAGAGAGAGGTGCAAATCTCTGCCTTGTTCAGAAGGAAGTAAGAGAGCAGGATTCAGTGTTAGGAGGCATCGCTACTTCGCTGTGAGAAAGGACCAGCTATTTGAGTTAAGAACATCTGGTCTTTGCATATTTCTTCTTCCCCGTCTGTCTTATTGCTTAAGTTTTAAGGAAAAATGGTATTTGGAAACAGAATAATTGCTTAAGAATAGACCAAATGAAGAGATGGACTAAAAGATGAACAGTATTTAGCTTAGGATTTTGTATTTGTGATATTTCCCTCAATAAGTGTTCAGTTTACTTTTTTCCTTTCTAATTAGCCATGTATTTAGCCAAACAAAGCTTTATCAACTGGATGTCATTCTAGCATTTCACAGTTGTCTGGAGCATGCAGTAAGGTTCACAAGTATTGTGGCATAGAAACTATGAAAATTTGATCTAAAATGCACCAGAACTAATTGGCTATGGAGAATACATTGTGATCTTAGCTAGTGCTTTCTGACTTGGTGTTGTATAGATTCTGCACTACTAAAGATTTGTAAGAGTTGTGCTTGTTTTGCCCCTTTGTTGGTAGGCCACTGTCTGTACTATTTCTTGCTCTCTTTCCTAAGTTGAGTAATGTTCTGTCCTTCATGATAGCTCTGGAAAAGTGACCCACAGGTTTTAGCAGAAACCCCTGTGGGGGCCTGCCTGTTACTTGGGTGTTTATCTGCTCTAGTGGTCAGTTGGCAACCATGCTCTAGTGCCTTTTCTTATAAAGCATATTTCTCTGAACTTGGATCATTTGTGAAATCATGAGGTGTACTGATCAAATATAATACTTTTTTTTTTGTCCAATCTAATAACTTCCTTATGTATGATTGTTGAATATGAAGCAGAATTAATGATTTCTTGCATAGCTTCCTATTTTGTTAAAACTAAATCATGGCCACTCCCTTCCATTTCAACTGCCATCTCACACAAGGGAGTATAAACACGTAATTTTAAACATGACTCATTTTGATGATTGTACAAGTGTGCTAGATTATTATTTTGAAGAGAAAATTGCTGTGACATCCCTAAACCAAACTTAAATAGGGAGTAACCTGGATGGTTGGTTTAAATCTTCTTAGTATGCAACTATCTATACTTGTCTATCTTATCTAGTCTTGCTGTAAGTGGAGGACAGGTGAGGTGAGGGATTTTTACATCTTTGCATACATGAGGGAAAAAATAAAAAGCTTCCCACTGAAAGAAATCTGTTATTTACTGCGAATTAAAACAGCATATAAAAGAAATGGCTATAAGTGGGTTAGAAACAAAAATCTCTTACTGATATCAGAAGGATGGGTCATACTTTCATGCCTTAGCACACATTAATAGTTAGCTTATGCTTGTTACACTTTTAAAATATTTTTGTAATATGAAGGTGCTACCAACACAGCTTCTGGAACTGTGTTATGAAAAGTGTGGTTGTCTGATTCAAGGCTTAAAGTATAGCTCTGCTCTTGAAAACTTGTTAACTTTATCAGCTCATAGGTGCAAAATAAGCAGATAATTTTTATTCTACAAATTTATATATATTAGATATGTGCACACATCTGTAATTAAGAAACACAAAAGGAATTAACGACGATCATACCAGTGAGCATGTATTTTTCTTTCTTAGGGCAGAAATGTCCTTTTAGTAAGATATACCACGAGTTTGCATGCAGTAGAAACCACAATAGGAATTGTGGCTAGCCACTACTAGCATTTTTCTTGTTTTTGTTTAGCAGTACATTATGTAAAGCAAGCTAGGAGAAGTGGATACTTAGCAGCAAAAGAGGGAAAATCATGTTTAATTACTTCAAAGTGTCAGAACTTAATCTGCAAGACTACTTTTCAGCAAGGTGAGGAACATGGAAATAAATCTGTCCCTAGAGATCAGCAGACAAGTTTATCTGTGACTTCCTGACCATAGTTGGTTTGATTCTTCCGTATTTTCCCCTAGAAACTAATTCATTGGGACTTGCTAGATTAAACAGACAAAGTGAAGGCTTGAATTCCTTTTCCAGTGTATCCAAAGAAACTCATATGCTAGGTTAAACTTCCTTTTTGGCATTTTTGCACATAATATCCAGAGTATTTGCCATGAACATAAATGCTACTAGGAAACCTTTTAGTCTTTCATTTCTAAACTGTTTGTCATGTTAATGCTCCTGCACAGAAACCTGAAAAGCAAAACTTTCCGGGGACTTGAATTTCACAGAACAAACTGAACAAAATCAGTATACTGAGAATATTGCTTGTTTCTCAAGTACCCGATAGCCCCTTCTTTCTCCAAAACCTGGAATTCTGTGTTTGACTAGAGAAAGGAAACCTTGTTTTTGTGGCAGGCAGGTAAAGTAATCTCTTGGTGTATTAAGTAACTTCTTTTAATTGGAAGATGGGGATTTTGCCATGGAGATTGAGACACTTTGTATCTAATGTGCTATTTTTCTTTGTTGTTGTTTTGTTTAGTGGGAGACTTTGATAAGATCTGGCGTGAGCACTGTGAGGATGAGGAAACTCTGTGTGAATATGCTGTGGCAATGAAAAACCTTGCAGATAATCACTGGGCAAAAACTTGTGAAGGGGAAGGCCGAATTGAATGGTGTTGCAGGTAAATCTTAATGTATTTGAAAGATGCAATTGCACACTTGCAGTTATTTATAATACAAGGCTTAAATGTTCTTTGCTTTTTTGCCAGTGTTTAAGATTGGTTCTGTAACATGGTAATGATTTATTGCTTCCTAAGAAAATACCTTCTTACAGTTCACACTTATGACAGAAATAGCTTATGGAGTGTTTTGTTATGAGGTGACACTTTTTAAAAGTATCTTCAACAACCAGCGTGGGTTTTTTTCTTCAAATACTGAAGGTGTTTGAAAGTAAACCTATGGAGTAATTTTCCATACATTTAAACCTAAACTAAGCAAATACAGTGAGTATGTAACTCAAGTTTAATTTTCAGGGCTTTGTTTTGATTTGTGTATATAATAGTGTTTGATCTCTAAATGCAAATCTCTGGTGCTTAATTTTCAAGTCTTAATCTTCTCCAACAGACTTTAACCTCTGTGAAACTTGTTTTAAATGGATTTTAAACTTTAAAATTTCTGTAAGTCATAACCCAACAAAAAAATAGATGTTTATCCTAATTGTGAAGTTCAGTGAGTTCAGCTAAACTATTTCAATCCTTGAAGAAAATAAACTCCTAAAAGGAGAGAAATGCCAGTCACTTGGGATTCCTGCATACTGTTGGCATCCAAGGCATACCATGGAATCTGTACAGCAGAATAAAACAAAATATTGTTGAAATATAACTGGAAAGATAATTTATCAGTGATCCTGCCCTTGGGAATGACTTTGGACAAGCAAAAAGTAATCTTGTGTGCCAGTCTGTAGGTCCTGCAGGTGAGTCTTGCAAAGTGCTGAGCAAAAGGCAGCAAAGAACAGCAGATGTAGTATTGTTAAATTTAAATTCATTACATGAGTCCTTTGAGCCCATATATTAAAAAAAAAAAAAAGACGGGATGTAACTGTGAAACATTTGATCTAGAGTACATCCTGGTGGCAACTTGAGCTGTTCTGTGGCTTCTGGAAATGGAGCAAGTAATAATGAGCTGGTTTCCTTTTTCCCTACCATAAATTCCTAGGTATTTGAAAACCATTCCTTTACATATCAACCTTTTATCCTTTAGCTTAAAAACCAAAACAAAAAGAAAACACACACACCCCCCAAACTGTAGTTAAGTGTTTCTTTACAGACCCTTTTTTGTACCTGTTTTGTGTATCTTTATCCCAATTACAAGGGAGGTGAATCAGTTGTAAAGAACTGTGCCCAAAAATGGACACAGTATTCCAATGGCCTTGACAGGGATAAATAAAATAAATATTATTGACGTTGTAGTAAACTCTTGTTTATGCTATTGACGTTGTTTGTTGGGTTTTCTGTGTGTTGTTTTTCTTTCTGGTGTGTTTTGTTTTGTGTTGTTTGTTTTTTTTTATTGGTATAGCATTGATTTGTGCTTACTTGTGATCCCCAGCTGCCCATTTCTTTTTTACAGGCTTCCTCAGTTGCTAGTTGTTTTCCTGTATTTGTACTATTCAATACTCCCATGGAAATGATGATATATGTATTTCTCTTCACTAAATTACACTCTCTTGAATCATATTGAATTCTAATACTGCGATTTCTTGTAGCATCTTCCCTGTCCCAGCTTGGCATTGTTCGCAGTTGAGTACTGACTGTTCCAATGTTCAGGTTATCTCTGAAAAAACTAATTGTACTGGACCTAGGGCAGACTGCCATGGAACATTCCTTGATTTTTCTTACAATTTGTTTGTCAACTAGTATGTGAAACTTACTTCAGTAGTTGTGTGCCCTTTAATTTCAGCTAAACAGTATTCCCATAGCTTGTGACAAGCTTGTCTGTTACCCTGTAGGACAGGATAATGTTACTTGTGGATAGGGGAGGATTGGCTGATGGCCTGTGTATTTAAGGTTTTTGGTTCTATGTCTCACTTGGCTTCTCTTTGTAGTTCTTACAAGATTTACGAAGTAAACATTTAAGTGTCCATTTTGGGCCTTGCACCATGAACTTGTATTAAGAAGAGAATCCACCTTGTAAAAGACACTGGAATGTTCTGTCTCAGTATAAAGCTTCAACTAAATCACGTACCTTTTTCATTTACAAAGTCAGGGGTCAGGAGTTTTGCACCAGTAGAAAAAGAGGGGTACTTTTCAGTGTGTCTCGGATTAAACTGAGGCCTGGATGGCTAGATATCAGAGCGTATCAGATAGACTTTGTGTTCTGCAGTTTTTTATTCTCAAAGGGCCAAGAGGTGTCCCAGACAGATGGCAGGTCCCACTATTATTACTCCTTCTTGTGTCTGGGTGCATAATTGCATGCAAGAGAACTTTACTTGCATGAGGCTTCAGTGGAAGCTTTTGCTCAATGCTTTTAACTGTGTCACCATGACAGCAGAAAGGTAGCTGATGTATTAGATGAAGTTTAAAGAATGGATAGTCTGAGCTTTTTTGTTTTAAGTTGAAAGAAGATCTTTTCAGAGATCTGAATCTGAGAAGTGTTTTTTCCACTACATAAAAAAAAAACAACCCAACACCTTTTTTTTCTTTCCTTCGTTTTCCCTGTATTCTTTTATAAGCTAGCACCTGATAAAGTAAATCAGAGAATACAGAATAACCACTGGAGAAGCCATGCGTACTTAGGATGAAGTATAACAATTTTCTTGCAGGGTTCGCCTTTCAAAATTCTTTCTAGCCATTTCGTAGAAGAAAATGGAAAAAATGCTTTTTCTGATATCAATTCTAAACCAGATAGACTAAAACATTATTTTACTACTTCATTAGTTGTTTATTTAAACCAACACATATCCAGACTTTAGAAACTGTAAAAGATGGCAAGCAGTACATGATAGACTGTGCTGATGACCATATGCTGCATTGTATAGGGCCAGTTTTATTTATTGTTTAGGGCAACGTTATGCAACTGTTAATTGCGGAGAGGGGTTGAGGTGAAGAGGGATTAAAACTTTAGCGCCTTCCAGATGCAAATTAATGATCCCCTGAGTGGTGTTGTAAAAAGCCTGGGCAACACTCAACTGTTCTTCACTTGCTTTCTTTTTGTATCTTTAGAAAACTGAATATGGAGTAGCAAATGGTATTTGGAAATTAACATTTCTGGTTTTCTTTCATTTATATTGCAACACAAAACTTGAACCTTAAACCAAAATAGTGTAAGATGATGTTTACCCTGAATAATTGTTCTAACTCTTAATTTTTGCTGGCATAGGTAGGCTGGTGAACCTTTGTATGGACAATGAATGCCAGCCTGTTCTGGTTCTAGTTAGAACAAAATAAGCTAGACCAGCAGGTTTCCTTCTTTCTGTTGCTTTTGCATCAGTGTTAAGACTTGTGTTGACTTGGCTATTTTTTTTAAATAAAAAACCCCACCAAATCTGCACTTCCAACTATCATGACAAAACACTATCTAGACCTGCATTTTTTAAAAAAGCCTTTTGACTGTTTCATGAGCAAACTGAAGAAATATGCTCTTGTTGAAGTTAATGTCAGGTGAGTGCAGAACTATTTGGAAAAATCTGCAGAGAATAGATGTTAGAAGCTTATTTTAAAATGTGACTTTCTGAGAAGGACTCTTATGTCGATTTCTGTATCCATTACTAGTCAACATCTTCATTAGCAATCTTCTAGAATAAAGTCTGGTTTTAAATTTGAAAATGAGACTAAACAGAAAAGAGCTGTCACTCATAGCAGGATTAAATTTAACAGTGTTATTAACTATACTAAATATTATCAACTACCCTATATATATATCAGTTATACAAATATAGGCCAGGGAGTAATTGGTTGTGTCAGTCTTTTAGAAAAGCATTTCGATTCTCTAGCAGGCCACAAGCTGAATAGGAAAGTCATGGGATGCTTTTGCAATAAAGGCAAATATCATACTGGAGTGTGTTAATGAGATTGTCCACAAGATATGTAAAATACTCGTCTGACTTTATTTAGTATTGCTCTTAGTCAAAATATCACCTTGGTCACTGCATTTAAAAAATAACAAACATCAGTTCAACTGCAAGAAAGATAAAGAAATTATCAAAAATCTTCTAATTTTTTCCACAAAAGCCTTGTTGTTTTTCTTAGAAACTGTAGCTGTCTAGTCAAAAGAGAAGGCTAAGTAATCTCTTAGAGGATCTTTGAGAATAACAGGTCTCTGCTAGAACTGGAAAGCAGATCCTGTTTGAGTTTGGGAGATTGAATGAATGAATATTTGAAGACTGTTTTGCAGCTTTTTGATGAATACAGTTAGGTGAGCGATTCACTTTCAGGAGACTGGAATGAAGGAGGAGGTGGCCTAAACAGGAGGGAAACCATTTAAAATGGAAAAAACCCTTAATGTTCATTGTTCGTGTTTGTATGACAGTCTGTAATTTTTGCTCCTAAATACACTTTGTTCTGACAGCACTATAGCTGTTTGTTGAACACTAGAGCTAATTAGAGCAGTGATCATATTATAACTGCTGGCTATTTTCAAATTCTTGGAATCCTTTGGTAATGAAGGATATTGCCTCCAGAAGCTGGCTTGGGGCAGAGGGGTGGACGCAACAGCAGAGAAACCTCTGATTACAGACCTAATTGTGTTTCTCAAAAGGAAAATGTCTCAAAACCCTAGAACTGAGACCAAGTATGAAAAATAAAATGGAAAAATGTATGCAAGTTTCTCATCTTGAAGTTTATATTTTGTTAAAATATAAATATTATGATAAGACAATATAATACTTTATATTAAGAAACTTAGTGCTCTGACCTGTGCTGAATATAGGATTTCCGTAACATGAAGCTGGGTGCACATGACAATCGCAAAGTATTTTCCAGCCCACAGGAAATTCTTTTGCTCTTCTAGGTATAATTATTGTGCTCAAGGACAATTGAGAATTCTCCCTTTCTTGATTTTTTTTTTTCTTTGGAGATTGGGGGGTGGGTGGGTTAAACCTGTAGAAGAGTTTACACTTTGGGTTTTTTTCAGGCCAGCAGCTCTGTAAATTGACATTAATAAACTTATTCCTCAGTGTGTGGGAGGAGGGGAGAAACATTTTGTGAAGAGAAGTAAGTCTAGACCCTCCTTCAGCTCTGAAGGGAAGTATGTTATTTCACTGTACCCTCACTGAATTTTATCTTCAATATTAGGGTTTCGTAGTAAATATTGTAAGGAACATAAGTCAAGCTCACCTCTTCCTCATTATAAAGCAGAAGGAGAGAGATGAACTGTGTCTGTTCTTAGCCTGTAAAATGGGCTGTTTGAAACCCTTGAGCATTGATAACAGCTATTGGAAACTCCTTTTCGTATGATAAAATCTGACCACACCATCTTTAATTTAGTTATTCATTGCTACTTGACAAGAACTACTAACTACTCAGTCCTTGACTGCTTTTAAATTTCATACGGTGTTTCTTTGGCAATTCCCCATATCTTTTTTTTTTTTTTTTTCATTATATATTCTATCGAAACCCTTAGTTTTGATCACTGTATTTGAAAATTAAGCTTCTCTTCTGTTGCTGGAAAGTATTAACAAATGCATATGTATTCATACCAGCTTTTACAGAAACTTCCTATGTGTGTCCAGCCTAGATAGCAGAGCAGGGGGGTCAACTTGAACTGTCTCTTTATCATTTGAGTTTTGAAGTATGGAAAACAAGTTTCACTGAAGAAATACCTAAATGACTATTTTTTTTAAAAAAAGCAAAGACAAGAACTGAACACTTCAGCTGTTTCTCTGCCATCAAACTCGAACAGTTTAGGCCTGAAATGTTTGTTTTGCTGTTTGTGTAAACTGTAGCGTTAGCCCAGGTAGCATTTACATTGCACAATTCTACACAAGTATGTTAATTGTAGAGCTAATATTATATCATCAAAGACTGAACGCTTAAATGTCAGTTAAAAATGGAGCCATGTCAGTTCTCAGAATTATAAAATAGATTTCTTAATTTTATTTTTCTTTGTAGATAATTAAGAGGTGCTCTGTTCATTACTTGAGAGAGTTGTTAAATGTAGAGTCTTAGATAACTGCATGCTCAAAACTACAGTGTGATCAATGATGGCTTTTAAAGGCCATGAAGTTAAACATGTGGCTACATCAATAAGTTATCATAGGATAAACTAGAGTGTGCATTGCTTCTGGTTAGCTACTGCACAGTGACTGCTCACATGCTCACTGTTACCCCCTGGGAGGTGTGAGGCTCGCTTCTGTGAGGGGAGTACATAGGCAGCTCCTCTGAGGCCTTGGGAGCCAAAAGGGCAACATATGGTAATCCTGTCAGGATCATTGCAACTTCAGAAAGATGTAAAAGGAAGATAACCCTCAGTGGTCAATATATGCAGTATTGCCTAGGATTTTTCATTTGGATAGGTGGATTTGGTGGTTTGGGGCTTTTTTGCTTCCTTGTAGTATTGCACAGGTATGCAGAATGGGATCTGAATGTGAAGAATTTTACCCTGTTTTGGGCCTTCCTGTGGCTCTGGCCCCTCAGTCCACCAGCGAAAACCCAGGAATAGAAGATGCTTCTCCTTATGGTTGACTTTGATAGTGTATTCGACAAGGAAGGTCAGTTAAGAAGAATAGAGAATTATGAGAACTCAATTGACATGATAGGAGGCAGGGGTAGAAGGATGGAAAAAACACAGATTTGCACCAGTACCAAGGAGGAAGAAAGGGATTCTCACTGACAAGAATAAACACTATACAAGTAGGTGGTTCTCCAGTGTAACAGTTTATTAAGCGTTAAGCTGGGCAACATCCCAGCTACTAGTGAGTTAAAAGGTTCATAACATCAGTAGTTGAGGAGAAAAAAATGATGCATTCTCCAAAGTTGTCAACTTTTTGATGTGTACTGACGTACATGTCAGTGGCAGTGCAACATTATTTAAACTGCCATTGATTCTGGGTGTTTTAAGAGATATAATGAGAAAAAAGAATAAAAACAGAGGCTGCAAGATGCTAACAGAATAGTAAGGTAGCTCATAAAGAGTGAGGAAAAAGATATTTTTTTCTGAGTTTTATTCCTTAGACTAAATGACACACAGAATTAAATAGTTCTGAATTGATCATATGCTTATAAACAAATAATACATTATAGTGTAAAATACACTTTTATTAGCATACAAGCAATAATACAAGTGTTTTTCTAGGGTTCTCTTGTTTACTGATTTTTTTTTTTTAAATCTCTTTTCTGCTAAGTTAAATAACTGGCTCCTTCTGCTTTAACCTTTGTTAATTTTATAATTGTTATCTTTCCATACATGCAGTCTCTGATGGATGGAGTTGGTATGGTTTCACAGTCTGTATATCTGGGAGTATTGCAGCCTGGACTGCTATTCATGCTTGTGCATGTGATCTTGCTGCATATTGTTAAGATGAGGATTTTATTTCTTTATTCCATCCAGCTTCATTTGGTCTGAAAATAGCTTTGGTTACTGAGGAATTGTAACTATAACCTTGTTAATTAGAAATATGATGTTTACTGACTTATATAGCTGTATTTTCTGCTCTAAGGTTACTGTCTGTAGTTTAGACTTTTTATATTTAGTGCAAGAATGCTTGAGCAAGTAAAACTTGCCTGTGCTTTGAGTTTTAGACACAGATCAGTTTTGATCTTGAGGTCCTATAAGCATATCAGTGCAGAATGTGTCCAGGATAACTAATTTTTTCTCCCTCATGGCAAGAATTAGTAACCTGGACATAACATGCTACTGTAATTATATGTTTACTGACTCGAAGTGGCCATTTCCTGTCATCTTGGAATAAAGCAAAGGGACTTCTGTCTGTACCTGTTTGATTGTGTATATTTCCCTTTGGGAAACTCAACTCCGATTTACTTTTTTTTCCCTTCACATCTTATATGGTGGAGAGGCTGAATATATTTGGTGCCTATACACTCACCAACACTTAGATAAGGCATGGGTATTACAAGTCCTTGTCTCTATTTGTGATTTAAATGCAGCATTATACCAACATGTCCTTTCCTGAATCTGTGATGTGAAATACTGTGTTTGTTACCTTGATCCTGATTTGTATAAGGTGTTATTAAACTCCACTTGAATTTGTTTTCTGGAATATTTCCTTCAAGCCTCTGCAGCTTTGTTAGAGGAGAATTGAGTGAATTTCAAGAAAGATCATAAAAATCAGTTGTTATGAAAACATCATTCAAACAAGTACTATTTCTGTTAAACTTTCCATGCAAATACTTGGCTGGCACATCTAATTAAAAATACTGCTTCGTGCAGGGTGAGTCAGGCTTTTTAATTTCACAGCAACAAATTGTTTCCAATTCTAGTTCTATTTTGTGGACAAAATTCAGTTGTTCCCGAACATAATGCTTGCTTCTTGTACACTAATGCTGACTACCGGTTGAAGTATGCAGGTGCAATTTAACTTTTTTTATTCCTTTAAACTGGTTAGCATTTCTGTTCAAGTATGGCCAGATTATTTTGCTCTGGTTCCTATTAGCAAAATAATTAAGTATGAAGAAAAAACTAAAAGCTGAGATAAGTCTTCCACAGTAATATAGCTACTGCAGATACCTGTTACTTAAAACCAGAAAACACCCTGGGCAAACTCAATTAAAATTAAAAACTGGTGTATGTAAATTAGCCCATAGCCTGGATTATGTTTCTTTTCCCCCACATTATGTGCCTTGCATGACACAGAGGTTTCAGAAGCCCCTGCATTTATGGGGAGCTAGTTAATAACTCTTTGCACCTTTGTGGAGAAAAGTGGTGCTCAGGTGACAGCTGAAGTTTACCCTCTAGTGATGTTCTAACAGGACTTCTGCTGTCTTGCTCTAAAAGTCTATCCAGATAAAACTATTTTGAATCTCTACTCAGCTGTGATTTATGGCCTAACTTTTAGAAATAGAACACCATTTGACTTCAAGTGTGTCCTTTGGGTGTATTGCATCTTTCGTAAAGTGGATTTACCAAACCTGTAGTAAAGCCCAGATTTGTTTAAGAGCTGACAGTGCTTGTGTATCTTAAACCTCTGTCTTGTGTCTTAGCTATAGTAATGACCAAAAATAACATTCTGTTTTTCTGGGGAATTTTTCTTTTTGTCTTCTCAGCGTATGCCGAGAATATTTTCAGAATGGTGGGAAAAGAAAAGCACTTGAGAAAGATGAAAAAAGAGCACTTCTTGCTTCTAAGACCACTCCAGCTTTAAATGTTTCCCAGGCTCCCAAGATTGAAGATCCCTTGCCAAATATTGGCTTGACAAATCATGAAGCTATAACAGAAGAGTAAGTTTTACTTGTTTTCCAGACTTTTTTTTTCCCCAATTTGTGTGATAAGACTGACCTGGATATTTTTTTCCCCGTAACATATTAGATCAGTCTGATGTAATTTTAATAGTTAAGAAGGGGAATTTTCATGTGACTGTATACACGTTTCAAGAAATATTTATGTTGTATATTTTGGTGCATGCCATAAAAAAAATTACTTGAGAATGACAACTTAGTCATCTTCATTTAAGTGTTAGAGCAATTTCACTTTTGTATGTCATTGGTGTGCAATGTGATTTATATGAAACCTTGAGGTGAAATATGGAAGATGTTAATTAAGTTAGAATCTAATGGCTGTTCAGCACTGTTGAAAAGTCAATTGCTTATGTAAGTACTAAGTGCCAAATGTAAATATCAGAGTACTTAAAACTTTCTCTTCATAAATAATTGCAGAGAAACTTTTAATTCCAATTATACGCTTCAAAAGCAATTTTGAATTATAACCCTTAATTTTAACTGTGCTAGCTTTCTGTCCTCAAAATGTGACTGGTTCCACAGAAGTTGCAGTATCCTTGAGGTATTTTCCTAACAACAGTTTTAATTTTAGTTTGGACCTTCAGTCAAGTAAGAATTTTTTTTTGTCATTCAGGATTCGCTTTATTATTTCAGTTACAGTCCCACCCTTTTTTTCCTAAATAATGTGGGTCATGTTTGTAGCTATTCTGTGTATGATGGAAATAATTTAATATTTTGCAAGTATGCAAAATGCATAAGCATATAATCATTAAAAGTTACACTTGTGACTTCATATTCTTTACAAATCAGTTCATACTGTCTGCAATTATGTTTGTTTTGTGAAGAGGTTTTTTCATTATTGTAGCATGTCTTCTGTGATCAGCACTTACCTTAAGTTAGGTCTAGTATTAGGAAAGGAACAAGCATGTTACTAATGTTATTAACAGATGTGTCTGTCCTTATGAGCTGGTATCTTTTGTGGTTTGTCATGTTTCTAAAGTAACTTGCAAAAGGCATAAAGATGCCTATGTAGCTGTATAGCTACAGGCAAAATGAAATATCTCCCCTGTTATTGTCCTATTATGACAGGACAAAACAGATGCTTCCAGAATGACAGTAGTGGCTTCTCATAAGCTAACTTGCCCCTAGACCCCTCTTTTTAGTGATCATTTTGCTAAACCAGCCTCAAAATGAATACCTGTTTTTTACAAGAACTGCCAGGAACTTTTGCATAAAGGACTGATGAGATACAAATAACTTAAAACATTTCAAAACTGCTGGCATTTGTTAACATATAATTTTAGCAGTACTATAAATAGAAGTTTGTTGGTATTTGTTTGTTTAAATCAATAGGTTTGATTATAAAGTACATAAAGTTGATTTGTCTTCCACTGGGAGGCCTTGTCATGATAAAGTATTAGTGCTCTCTTTGCATGTGCTCTGTCTTCATACTTTGTACGTTTATGATGGCCATTGCAGAGCTAACTTCACATGAGTTTCTTCTTGCTACGAGTAGCCTGTAGCTTTACCTTTTGTTCTGACTAGTGTGTATAGAAAATAGTTAACAGTTTTAATTAAATAATTTTTAAAGTATTTGTTAATATAGTGAGTGATGTTGGGTTTTTATCTTCATTCTCAAAACTTTAAAAATATGTAAATTCATAAAGACTTACCTGGCAAAGGCAAGATTCATAATACTTACCTGAGTAAGCACCAAATGATAGTATGGTTTTTAGTAGCTGTACAGACCTTAAAGCAACAAGGCATAGCTATTCTAAGTTTCTGCCCAGAGAAATCAAAATTCAGTTTCTTCCTCTATGCCTTATAAAAGAAATTACAGTGCTTATCAGAATGAAAATTGATTGTGTATTACACAAAACATACATTCCTCCTGAAATGTTTTTCTACCATGTCTACACTAATCAATTAGTGAAGTCTGAATCTTGGTGAGGTCTTGGTATAATGGATGTGGGGGAACCTCCACCCACACACACACACACTTGTCCAAATACTGTGACTCTATTCTGGTCATGTAATGCTACAAATAAGAGTTGTGGGGTTGTCTATAGGTATGGCTAAGCCTGTGACTTTTCGTTTTACTCTGGTAAGTTTGTTGTTCCCATATATAATCATGTCTCAAGTAGTATTAAAACCAGGTTGCTTACGTAGGAGCTCTTTCTGAGCTTACCTTTACTGGCAAGCTATTGTAGAGAGACTGTACTTTGCTTGGTAAGGAGCAAAGCAGGCTAGCTCTGGAATAGAGTTCCTTGGGTAGGAAAAAGATGCTGGGAGATGTGGAGAGAAGTAGGAAGCACTCAGCCTGCTCCTAAAAGTGATGGTAGGAAACATCATAGGAACCAGAAGTGCAAAGTTTACTGTAACTCAGTCACGCAGCTACTTTGAACCCATTTCCAGTTCATGTTGCTCACCTCTTTGCCAGATTAAAATTGGGGAGTCTTACAGAAATAACTGATGCGAATGGTCCTTTTTTACTTTCATCTATATGAAAAGAAATACATTGTCTACATTACTTCCTTCCATCCCAGAATGAGTTCTTATGTATCTGCAACTGCACCTGTTGTGAAGCTGGACATCAAAGTGGCTCAGTCCTGCAAGATAAAAGTGGCTGTTATCTGCTGTTATTAGCAGGGGCCTCCAAATTCAGAATGCAAGGAAACTAAAAAAAAAATAAAGACCAATGTCTTTGAACGTAGGGTGTATTCAATAGCTGAGTCCTTGATATTAATGATGAGTGCAATATTCAAATTCCTAATTATTTTAAGAGGGACAGTGTATCAAGTTAGACAAAGTGTCAGGACAAGGCAAAACCTTTAAATGACAAGATAGTTAACTGCTAGTACTTCTGTACAGGTGCGCTGATCTTATCTGTTGCTGCATTATATATACTGGTAACTGCCTTGGTCATGAAGAAAATGCCTATGGCTGCAAACTTGAAGATGTCCAATGTTCCTCTAGGCATTGGTCAGAAAGATTCTTCCTTTGGAATATAAAGATGCTTTTAGAGGCAAGGCACAGTCACTGTCCTCAAAAATTGTCAGGCATCTTCTTTTCTTTTTTAAAAATACATATTTAATTGAAAGAAAAGAGCAATGTTGTCTTTATCTTCATAAAGACATTTCAGATTGGTTTTGCAGTTGATCACAGATGATGTCAGAGCTTTCCAAGAAAAGACAAATCTCATCTGCTAGCCTCCAGTGTATCTTCTGCTGTGCTGTAAAGGGATTTTCTACCAGACAGTACAAGAATGTCCTCTCCTTGATCTTCTGTCTGCTAATTTCTTTCTGATCTCCCACTTCTCTGGTTATTTTTACCCCAGGAAGTTTTGGAATCTGATTGAGAAGGTGACAAACCAGTTATTCAGTGTGGGGTTTTTTTTTTATTTGGTGGGTTTTTTTGGTGGTGGTTTTTTATTATTCTTATTTTCCATGACGTTTTGGAACGGGTGCAGCATTCTGAAACTAAAGTATTAAAGTATTCTCAGCAGTCTGTCAACTGCTTCCTATCAATCCAAGCAGTAAGTCATGATTTCACAAGTTAATCCCACCCCACCCTCTCTTTTTTTTTTTTTTCTAAATAGTTCACCTTTTGTTGTTTGGTAGCATAGTTCAGCATTTAGCATTACAGCCCTTGGCCTTCTTATCTATAATTCCACCTTGAACAGTAGTGTCATCACACAGTAGCAGATAAGGAGGTAAATTTTTGGCTTACTAACAGGTTGTCCAGAATTCTTATGGCATAAATCATCATTTTTGAGTACTTCAGAATTACTATGATTGGGACTCTCTTTTTTTGACTATATCTCATTAAAAAGCTTTTGGATACTCCAAAAGAAAACTGATTGCATGGCATGCAATAGACTGTGATTTTTTTTTTCCCCGAAAGTAGTTAACTTCGGTTCATTTAGATGTTCAGAATCACTTCCCTATAATTGGAGCAACCAGTTTTTAAGTTTGTGGCTCTGTATGGACTGATCTGACTCTTTAACACCATCCATTGAAAATAGAATTGGAGTGAACCTCCAGTAGTAATCCATTTAAAAAAAAATATTAGCTAACATAAAGCAAATAAAGTTTTTTAAAACTTTTTCAGGGAATAACTAAATGCTTTCATTTTTAGAGATATTTTTGTTTATCTTGGAATACTATTATGTGTTCTCTTGCCTTTATTAAACCAGTTACGGCACTTGACTTCAGATGCCCTTTAAAATGGGACTGACAAGTAGGTATGTCGTAGACTGTTGCCAGTTTCTCTTTTAAACTCCTGAAGTTTTAACTCTGGTGACTTGTGAGACTTCAACACCAATAAATACCACAAAAAGGTAGATGGGAAACACCAAGCAATAGAGAACACCTGTCTAGTGGATACACAGGTTCCCATTTCAGTTTCTTACTACAGGTAAGCAAGTTAATAGTATTACAGCTGCTCTGAAAATAACTGTTCTGCTTGAGGACCATCTGCTTTACTGATGGAGTTTGGTTCTTTAGGTATCTCAGCAATTCAAGTAAAGCATTCACTTCTATTAGTCACTACTGTGGTGTTCTGTGAGAATTTTTTTGCATTAGTTATCTGAAATTGTAATTCAGAATACAGCTTCAAAAATAACATTTGATAAAACTGAATTCTTACTGCTTCTTAGATTGCTCCATTCCTTGGGGAAGATCAGATTACTTGATGTTGGTAGCTGCTTTAATCCATTTCTGAAGTTTGAAGAATTTCTGACAGTTGGCATAGATATTGTTCCAGCTGTTGAGGTATGTAATGTGCTGAATATAATATAAATTTGATTCTCAGATATTTTTAGAATACTTCAAAATGACTGTAGAAAAAGTATGTTTAATACTTAAGTGTATATCCTAAATATCTGTGCTTTAATAATAACTGTGGCCCTTCTACTACATCCTTTTCCATGAACAGGCTCTAAACTGTAGCTGTGTTTTGATTTAAAAATCTGGTATTTTTTTCAAGACTTATGCTTTCATAATGCAGTTGTGAATCTTAAAATTGGAAAATTTTTAGTAGCCATCTTTTTATGGCATTTCAGAGGAGTCCTTGCAGCTTAAAAGGTGTAAGTAAAAATTGAGTAGGCTAATGATTAGGCATGAACCTCTCAGAAGTTGCATTCACTGACAGAAGGAAATGATCAGTGACTGTACTTGGGGAGTTTTAGTAACTAGAAGTGCACTGTAAGGGGGCTTTTCTGTTTATTGCTAAAATATTACTGAAATTCCACAATCCTGTGGACATATATCAGCACTTTTGGGGTAAATAGCTTCATTTTCTCTTGGTAGTAAGATTCTCAAATGCATTACTTCTACTGTAATTGTATGATCTTTCTGTCTTTTGCTCTTGACCCAACTTTTGTCAGTCCTAATAGCATTTATCAACTAAGCAAAATGATAAAATGGAATGAAAATTAAAAAATACAGAAAGGAATACATTTCTAATAGAAAACCCTGTGATCATACAGATCTTGACCACTTACAGTTTAAAATCAGACTCTATTAAAATCAGTGGCCTAAGGTAACCCTCTTTAGAAGTGGAGAGATGAGAAGTGTACGGGTACAATAACACAGTTAACTTGAAAGTAATGTTCTCTTATTTGCTGCAGTGACACTTACATAGTAAATGCATGGTATTTTGTTGTGGCTACCAGGTTTAGTCCAGTAACACCTAATTTCTATTTCTGCATATATGCTTAGAGATAATGAAATATATTCTTGAAAAAAAAAAATCTGATAAATTGCTTTTAAAGCAATTCAGTGTTAGTTTCATCTAAAACACAAAGAAACTTTAAGTTTCCCATCTTGCTTAATTTGAAGAATAGGTATCAGTTTCCCAAATGCAATTGCCTTCCACCACTTAAAAGGCTGTAGGACTTCTGCATAGGGCTCTTGGGCATGACAGAGGATGTAAAGGATACACATGCCACTGAAGTGGCAGCCTACGAAGTCTAAAATGGTAATACATGGCAAGTAAATTTCTAGCTGATACATATATCATGGGTGTCTACATCTGGGGTTTAAGTTCGAATTACAGTCAGTGGAGATCTATTAAAGATAGTGAAACCTAAAGGTCTTCTGTTTCACGGTAAGGTGATTTGTGTTCTGGCCTCTTGGGCTGTGTTGACTAGCTCTCCAGTGACTGTAATAGGAGCCTAGGCACCTAAAGTTACATCAGCTAAATATAACTATTAATTTTGGGGTATGCATAGTTAATATTTTGCTTTCTAGTCTATCGTGCTGTTTTTGTAAGAAATTACTTTTGTTCTTTTGAAAATCAATTTACACATAAGTGACCAAAACCATTATTGGCTGAGTCTCATAAAGCTTACTTCTGTGGATGTAATGGAGGAATATGAGTAATCTAGGCCAGACAACAGGAGAGGGAGTAGTCAAGTATCTTCAAGAGCTAACCAGTTCTTCCGGTTCTCTCCCAGTACAAGGTAATGATAAGATAATTAATTACTTCTCTGGTGACATGGTACCATAGCTTGATGATAGGAACTCCCCAGAGTGTTACTGTACAGGCCAACACAGTTACTGTGAGGCTTGTCTCAGGCTCACCAGCTTCTCTTACTTCAATTTTCTTGTATACTTTGGTGTGTTCAGGGCACCTGGAAACCTAGCTAGCAGGGTTCTTGGAGTGACACGGAGTACAGTTTGTGCACTCAAATGTATCTGCTAGAATAAGCTTAGGCCCACCTCCAAAACAACATTAATAAGCCCTGATGTATTCAAGATGACTCCGCTTTGAGCTGCATAAGCACCATAATAACCTCCTGAATAAACTTAACTTTAGGCCAGCAGTTGCCTGGCCTGATTTAAGATTTCAGAGTAACAGCCAAAGGGTTCTTATGGTAGTTAATGTAGTCTTCTGACCTGAAAAATTGATCTGATAACTCAGTGGTAGAAGCTGAAAACAAGAACTAGTAAAATCTTCTGATTTAGCAGATCTTTTAGGTAAGATACCAAAATACTTTTTTGAAACCCATTGAAGCATTGAGGCTTTTTAGGAAGTCAGTTTCTGGAATAATGTTGAATGGAGAGTTAAATAATTCCTTCTTTAATAAAAATAAATTAATGCACTTTCTGCATATCGAAATGCTTTAGATATAGACTAAGTAGTTGGAGTAAAACACATCACCTAATTTGAGAAACAAGAAGAATGTAATTGCGGAAAAACTAGGAGAGGAACTGAGATGTTAGTTATATAATAAAAGAATTAACGTCTTCAAAATGCTTCAAATCTGTTTCATATATAGAGAATGTAAACTGTAGAGATGAATACGGAAATATGATTCCATTAAAAGGTTTTGTGTTTTGAGAAGGGGGACTGCACCAAGAAACGATTAGTGTTCTCTTTAGCTAGGCATTGTTCACTCATTTTCAGTGTCTGAAAAAACAGGTTTCTTTTTGAAACTTTTTTTTCTTTTTGAACAGGTTTCTTCTTGACCCAGTGTTTTCGTCAGATATTCCTTCAAACATTCTGCTTATAACACAGATATTCCAGAGTACTATTAGCAGTGGTTATTCCCTTAGAGAAGTTTAATTTGTCTACATAATTAAAACACACACACACACACACACACACACACACACACACACACACACACAAAAAAAAAGCCTAAAAGATGGCAAAATTGGAATGGAGGATCTCCACTTTGGGAAAATCCAAATACAATTTCATACTGCTGTGAAACATGCTGAATATGCAGCAGATGATGTATTGGAGTAAATATGGTCTGAGACAAAAAAAAAAAAGGGGGGGTTGGAAGGGTAGTGGAATTAAAAATTAGAATATATAAGTAGGATTGTGTTCTTAAAGTTCAGTGGACACACTGAAATATGACTGCTGTTTCACTGTCAAGGAGGACTTTAACAAGAGTTCAGGACTTGTATATCTAAAGTTTAGTAGCAGTCCCCAGTTCAGCAGTTTTTGTCCTAAAACTGCCTTGCAGAGTTCAGATTCCACTCAAAACATACTTTAGTCCTGCAATTGTCTTTAACATTATTTCTACATAGTGTTTTATGAATATTTTTCTACTACTCAGAAATACTTGCAGTCTAAATTGTTTTTCCAACTCTATATGTATAATGTCTAACTCATGCTTCTAAGTAAAGTTGGCATGATACTCTGAATAACGATTCTTCAAAGCACTTCTTTCTTCTAAAACTTACTAGCGGATATAATGAAATTACTACTGTTAATTTCCTGTTCTAAGTATTACAAGGAAGCAGAATATACCCCTGCAGGTATAATGGTTGCAATTAGAATTTCTTGATTGTAGCCACATAATGCAAGTCTCTTTCTTGATTTTTGCATATTGGAGGCAAATATAAAAGGTAATGAAAAATAAATCACAGATTTTTTTTAACATTGATTACTTTTTCTAATTTACTGCATACTCTCAGAAGATAATGTGATTTTATATGAATAGAAATAACATTCACTCTTACTTGGAAACAATTGTGCCTATCAGTTGCTGATACATTAATACCTTTACAATAGTGTTCTAATGATTTTTGAATATTATTTCATAAAACATGCTATAAATGTTTTTGTGGTGTGAAAATGCAGCAGATCTAACTACTTTTCTGTTCCACATAACGTTTTGTGTCTGCTTTCACGTTCACTTACCTGTTTTGAGTCTGTTGTTCACTGCACTCTAGGCATTAATAACAATTTTTGGTATAACATAACATTATTTTCTTAATACTTTTTTTAATGGAAGAAGTCAGTCCTGGGTTTTGATGAACACAAAGTGTCAGAACTTAAATGTAGTGAATAGCATAGTATTACCCTAATTTTTTGAATCTTCTGTGATTAAGGATGTTAAGAACTTACTCTTCTGTATGTTGTGTTGTGGTGTCATTTCCCATCTTCAACAGCTTGAGCCCACAGATGATTAACAGATGAATTTATAGCCCTTACCTTATGTGATAACTGCCCAAATGTGTGGTGCTATGCTCTGCATTTACAGCAAGGTTAAAACATGGACCTGTATCACTGCTGCAAACCAGTTAGTTACTGTAACTTTCTAAGGCGTATTGCCTTTCTGTAGCTTCTTTGTTTCTGTAGCAGTAAAGAACTAGGCTTTTCCAAGCAACCAAACTACTAGGTTTCCTGGATTCTTTTCAAAGAACTGGTGGAAATGAGATGTGAAATTTATTTTCTAATTACTGATTTCAGGTTTATAAAAACCTACAAAAAGCTTTCAGTAGCTGGAGAGACAAAAGCAGTGTAGGCTTACCCAAGTTGTTCTTAATCATTTGACATAGCTAATCAGATACTTGGTTTTATTTGGGCTAGATTTATTTTTTTATTGTGGGTTGTTTGGTTTGTTTTTTTTTTTTTAAATTAACAGTTCTCAGCTATCAAATCTCTAGTAAATTACTGCACTTCTAAAATTTTTCTTGGCAATTGTGAAAGCTGAAAGTATGTGCTAAATTGTTATTTTAGGTTGTTTGAGGAATGTTCAGTGGGCTTGACATTTCCTCAAGGGAACACAGAGGTTATCATTGATTGTCTGTGGGTTTGGATTATATCTGCTCTTTAAACTAACCTTCATGTTTGTTTGGTTTTCTGTTTTTCTTATTCCACCAGAGCGTATACAAATGTGACTTCTTAAATCTTCAGATTCAGCAACCTCTCCAGCTGGCACAAGATGCTATAGATGCCTTTCTTAAGCAACTGAAAAATCCCATTGATTCTCTACCTGGAGAACTGTTCCATGTTGTCGTTTTCTCATTACTCCTTTCTTATTTTCCATCACCTTATCAACGATGGATATGCTGTAAGAAGGCACATGAACTTCTCGTATTAAATGGCTTATTGCTTGTAATAACTCCTGATTCATCTCATCAGAATCGCCGGGCTATGATGATGAAAAGCTGGAAAATTGCCATAGAGTCCTTGGGTTTTAAACGCTTCAAGTATTCCAAGTTTTCTCACATGCACCTGATGGCATTTAGGAAAACTTCCCTTCAAACGACAAGTGACTTAGTTAGCAGGAACTACCCAGGAATGTTGTATATCCCACAGGATTTCAACAGTATAGAGGATGAGGAGTATTCCAACACTTCCTGCTATGTTCGATCAGATACAGAAGATGAACAGCTAGCTTACGGTTTTATGGAGCTACCTGATGCTCCTTATGACTCAGACTCTGGAGAAAGCCAGTCTAGTTCAATTCCTTTCTATGAGCTAGAAGATCCTATATTGCTTCTAAGTTAATGTAGTTGTTGAAATGCCCTTTCAGTCAGTCAAACCTCTTGCTTAACTAATTTTGCTATACTAACATGGGCTCAACACAAAAATGGTTTGCATAATGAAAATGCAAAGGTTTACAGAGTTTGCTATTTTTTTCTACTTTTGAATTTTAAAATTTATTCTTGTATGAAAGTGAAAAAATACAAGTTTTATGCAAATGACTCATGTCATAGCATAAATTGCTGTTACTTTCTTTAGAGTTGTATCACTAATTTTTTTCCAGAAAGGTACCAGTTTCTTTAGTGCTGTGAAGTGTGAATTCTATTTAACTTCCTAAATGTTGTTTCAATATTTTAACTCAATGTGGTTGAGCTTAAGGCACTGGAGTTGGTGGGCTTCTGAGAAGTATATGTAGGAAGAAATATTTTGCACTTTAATTAAATGTGCAGATAGGTTAAGACACTTGGTTACACATGTCCCTTCTTAATTGTGGAACAAAATTTTTTTTCCAAAACTTGTTTCACTCTGGTTAAGCCTAGGCTGGAGTAACTATAATGCTTGCACGTTTGATTTTATGTTAATTGCAGCCCTCTTGAGATAACACCAAATTGAGGTAACACCAAAACACTGGAGTATATTCATCCATAGTTATACATACTGTGTAATTTCATTGCATAAATAGTAGTTAGACATGAGATTTCTGAAGATGTTATCCTCCCCCAGAGGAGTATGGTACGTCTAGATAATTATGTTTCACTTCAAAGCTGGAACATGGGTTTGCAATTTCATGAGCACTAACGTATATCAGTATTTCCCCAGTTATGTTGTTCTGTATTCTTTTCAAACTGTGGTTTGGGGGGGTGGGGTGGGATGGGGACACACGACAGGGTGGGTTTTGTCATGTTTTAAAGTAAAATATTTATGCATTTTAGAAACAAACAACTTTTTCTTTAATTGTCTTTATTTGTAGATCTCCCAAGTTCTTTGGTAACTACAGACCAATTCTGTAAAAAGGTACACAATTATACAAGTTTTTCAAGGATAAACATATTTGCACAAAATTTGTGTATTCAGACCACACAAGTGAAGTTAACATACACTATTTGTTTGCTTATTTGGACCCAAACATCTTCAGTTTAGTTAAATAAAAACTCCATAGCTCTCTGAAAATCCGTTTGCACTGTAAGGAGATGGAACAGAAATGTTTTACATTTACTAAGTTTTTTTAACTTGCATAATAAATTTGTGAGATTTTGCAGGAAAAAACCAAATTCTGTTCAGTGGTGAAAATAGAGGATTCAGTATTAGTTTAGCTTAGATTTCCTTCCATTTAAAAATAATGGCCAGAATTTTCAGATTTGAGTGTTAAACTTAAATCTGTATGTAAGTGCCTAATAGTAAATTATTTGAACGAGGTGCCACATCATGGTTTTAAGACTGACTTCAGCAACATGGCAGAAAATACTAATACTTATTTTCACAGGTGGTTGTGATGAAGTATACCTTACACCATATTAACCTACCCTGTTATATTTGTAACGGAGAAGTTACCAGATAAACTGAAGTTGTAGTATGGATGCTGCAAAAAGGAAACTTACTCCTTCCATTGAAGTTTTGCACTGAAAGTGTCACAGTTTGACCTACCTGTTTTTCTTTTATACTGTTTCCTACAAAGAGTCATCCTGCATTGGTCCAGCTTATGCCCAAACATCATCTGCATTTAAATGCTTTATTCTTTAACATAAGCTTTTTGTGTCTCTTCTTAAATTTAAAGCATCCCCTAATACCTGATTCAAATTCGTTATTCAGTCTGAATGATATAGTTATATACAAACCAAACCATTGTATTGTGATGTGTAAACAAAAATTTAGACATGCAAGTATCATGGTTAACTTTTACTCTTTTTTTTACAGAGAATACTTCCCTAATGAAATACACGGTGGCTTCAAAATTGGCTATAAGTCAGTATTTGCATCTAATGTTTTACCAATTCACTTTCACTAAAATGTTTGTCATTCAAAGCCTTTCTTCTTCCCAGTTAACCACTGGCTCCAGCAGTGCTCACGTTAAAGCTAAAATTTTGGTGCTATAAATGCAGCTGTTTATGGAAATTTAGTCTTTGCATACTTCGAAGTGTACCTAACATTTTAACTGATACTCCTTTAAAAAAAAAAAAGTTATATACCAGCTAACATTATGTTGGTATTGGTTAATGTAAATTGGTTTGTGATTATTACAAAAAACCAATTCAGACCAAGATTCATCCCTCAGAAATAGTTTAAAATATTCATGTTTAAAACATGCCTTTTTGGCAGGTTGGTAGTTGTGGTTTAGGGACCTGAGATTCCTAACAGCTTGGTTTTCTTGATGCCTTTTTTTTTTTTTTTTAAACAAGGGACAGTACATTGTGGGGTAGGAGGACAATGGAATTTACACAAATACTTATATCTCCCTGAACAATAGAGTGGTGATATCTGGAGATATTTGGCTTTGGTGCAAGAAGAATTTTCTAGGTTATGAAATATTTGAAAATTATGACTGTGCAAGAGATCTCTTGTTCTTAAGGTGCTGGAGAGAAGAAGGAAAAAAAAATGTGTATTTGCATTTCTGTTGTCTTTATGTCACTACTTTTTGTGAACAAAGCACATTTATTAAAAAAGAACCTGAAAACCTTTTTAAAAATTGGTTTTTTTGTGATGTTCTTTTTTTTATTCTTGTGCAGTTGGTTTATGCTGAAATCTAGTGAAATCAATGCATAGTTATTTTCCCTTATTGTCAAAAAAAGTTGGATTGGGTTTATTTTACAAACAGCTGAATTATAGCAAAGATATGAAATTTGGTACTTGAATTCCAGCTTCTACATATCAGTTAGGGTCTTTGCTTTATGGAAGGGTTTTTGGAGTTCCTCCAGTTGGTCCTGTATTGTGTTTCTTTGATTGCCCACTTAGGATGCAGCCACTTTCTAATGCAGTTTCTCTCTTTTCTCTCTAGATGTTCTTAATTATTTCTCCTGTATCTCCCTGAAATAGCTTTGCAGCACCCATTGTATGTTGGCCCTCTGAAGTCATTGCTGTATTTTTTTTACATAGTGATTTTGATTACTGGAGGTGTTGAGAAGGAATGACAATGCGAAAAGCAACCTAAAGAACTGAAAATGCAAGGCATCTACTTGGATCCAAATTCTAAAACAACTAGATTTCAGCAGAACTGAAGTGTGGCCCTAGCACTGCAGAGCCTAGTTGATATATTCTGGTCTCTTACTGTTCTTGCTGTGGAGACCAGAAAACATGATTTCACAGCTGTTCTCAGTATTGCTTCCTGCTTCAGGGAGACTTGCTGACTTGCTATCAGTCTAAGTCGTCTTAATTGTATTGCTGTGAATCAGCAGCAGGTTTATTGCTCTTCCTCCTTTCCTCAGTTTTCCTCAATTCATTGAACAGGAGGAAGATTATTTTTTTTACAATTTTCACAAATTTGCACAGAAACTTATTTCTGGGGTGTTATTTTTACTTTGTAAGTAAAAATATTCTCCAAGAAGTCAAAAAAATAGTTGCTTAAAGAGCAACTAAAATCACAGTTGGACAGATACAGAACCAAGTGTTGTCCATGTTGCTGGTAAAGTGTCTGAAGCAGGTGCCATTTACTAAGCAACTGTGCTTTTCATTGTGCATGTTAAAGGAAAGCCTCAACTTTTTTTTTTTTTTTAATCCATGTAATTTTTAGGCCTGTTGGCCAGCTTTATTTAAAATTTGAAGAGAGGTCAGGATTTTGGAAATGGCTGAGGCTCTTGTGAATTAGTTGTCTGAAGAATTGAGAAAGGACTCTCAAAATTTAGATGTTTGAGTATCCAGTTAGCCCCCATCAGTACTAGTGCTTCTTGACTAGGGGGAGGAAGGGGCTGGTTGTGTTGAAGGGACTACAGGAACAAAGGACATAAATCTGCGGCAGCCTAGCCCTCCTGCAGTTCAAAGATGCCCTCGTGCAGCAGCTGTCTAAACTTAATGCAAAGTTGAACGACCCTTGTTTTGCCTGTCTAAGCGATGGAGCTGTTGAGATCCAGAAACCCTGCTCTTGCCTGCCTGCCTGCAAAGGCCACTTCAGAACATGCATTTCCAAAACAAAGAGTTGTCAAACACCGACGGCTAAGAAGTGTGCCTTCTGTATAATGCCAGGGTGGTGAAAGCTGCTCTGGGGGAAGCACAGATCCATCCAGGACCAGAATCCTCCCCCCCCGAAGGCTCCTGCTAGCCAACGATGGGAAAGGATAGAGAGGATTCAGTCGGGCACGCAGTCCTGATGCAAACACAGCTTTCCCTCTTCTGTACGCTAAGCACCAGCTGACACTGTTATAAGTTTGGGTCGCTTGTTGTTTTGTTTGGGTTTGTTTTGTTTGGGGTTTTTTTTTTCCATTCTTCCAGACTATTAACCTAGCGTTTATTTTACACTTGCCCATCACCAGGATGCTATTGCCTTCCCTGGCAGCGAGGTAGTGGTGGGGCTGGAGGGTGCCGATAGGGGGAGGACTGTTACAGCCCCACTCTGCCCCATCGAAGCAGGCACCGTCCTACCGAGCGCCTCGTCGCCCGGGGCAGGCGCGGGCCCCGCGTAGCTGCCGCAGGCTGTGTTACATTTCTTTGGTAATATCTGTGTGAGGGGATACACTAATCATGGAAGTGCTGCCTTTTCCCCTTTTCACCAAAAAGCTGACCATTTGCTTTGGTTAGAGAAAGACTAGCTATTAATAGTGTGGTTGCGTAGTACACCTTTTTGTTAATTGGCTAGAAGATCAGCAGGAGAAGGTTGTATTCACAGTCCAAGATGTTATTTTGCAAATATTTGGTGCCAGAGCAGCCTTTGTGTCATTCCACTGGGAAGAAGCGTGTTCCCCTGCCCCAGCACCTGGTGTGGCATGCTGGGCCGCAGCAGAGGAGCTGCTCTTTCCCGCTTCCAACAGTGAAGTAGCAGCAAAACTCTACTCTGCACAAGCTGAACCAGTCAGAGTAGTTTTCTGTCAGAGTGGCTGCTTGCCTGCCAAGGAAGTTTGCTAGGGTAACGATCCCACCAGAAAATAATTTTGCAGCCATAGCACAATTTTAAGCCCAGCGCTAGGCAGGAGCTTCCGCCTTTTGCGTATGAGCCAGCCTGCTGACTTCCGTGAGGCTGTTGTCCAAATGACTGTTTATAGTGTTATTAGCCCCTTGACTTGGAGGGATTCCAGAAATGCTCAGGAATCAAAGTAACAGGACGCACAGCAGTTGTGCTTCAGGTTAGTAGTAGTCACGCACCAGTGCTGTGGGTTGGAAGGAATTGTTCCTCTGTTCCTGGTTTGAATGAGATAACTGGGGGCAGGGGGAGGGCTTGTGGGCTTGTGCAGGAATTAAGATAAATGGCTCAAGTTATCCATACAGTGAATGTTGATTGTAGCAAAAAAAAACATTAGACTGCGGACAGTGCTGTGATACCAGATACATTGCAACCTGGAACACGATAGCTAACTTAGGGCTGTGTTATCTATGTAAAGTAGAAACAAATGAAAGGTAGAGAACAGTAAGTGTGATACCAAATGAAGGGAGAAATATTACGAGATCTTAAGCATCCAGGCAACTCAGAATTAAGTTTATATATATAAAACATTGAAAATTAGTACTATGAAAATGCACAGTTGAAATACAAAGAACTTTAACTTGCAATGGCATCATGTAATAACTACTTGCTTTAAGTATATGGTATATATTCTGTTTCAATTAAACAGATCTTTAGTGTGTAGTTCTTCCACGTAATATCTGCAGTGTTGTTAGCTGTTTAACAGAATTTGAAAATATAAAGTAATTTAAACAATAGAATTTCTTAAGCCTGGTCTGTCTCCACAACAGTTACTCAAGCTGCTTTTACACTGGGGGTCTGTCTTCAGATCAGCCAAAGCTGATCAGTCAATTCCCTTTTTCTTTTGTTGTTTACTGGTTTAAAAAAAATGAGAATTTAAAAATCAAGAGACAATAAAGTCTTAGGTTTTGAGTTTCAGTCAAGGTGTTCATACTTCCCCCAACACTATAAATAAAATCAGTAAGCTATAACCTAGCTCTGAGTGTTCTTGACACTTTGGTTCCTCTGTCATACTAGTAACTCTTCAGAAGTCTCTAAGATGACAATGAAATGTAACTCTTCAGAAGTCTCTAAGATCAAATTACTTTAAAAATGTTAGGGGCTATGTATGAGTCTTCTTACATGTTGATGACTCAGCCCATAACCTGTATAATCATGCTCTTAGATAAATTTTTTATTAATAGCTTTAAAAGCAAAAGTTGTACATAAATATAAATATTAATGAGGTTGTCAGTAAGTTTTATCTAAGGGAATTTGAATGAGTGGTTGTTCTGGGGCTCTTTGTAATTTGTGACACTTCTTAAGAAAATCAGAGACAAAAAATTTTGATGCTAATTTTCTTGGGTTTATACTTTCTTGTGATCCACCTGTTGTTTTCAGTCTATTTTCTCTGAAGGTGTAAGGCTCTGGTTTATTTGTTCGGTGACTCCTGGTTCAGAGTTTCTGGTCACAAAAGGATCAAAAATCAGAAGTACATATGTTTTTCTTTACATGTAGTTGCACAGAAAGCTTGTTCTCTCAGTAATTCTTATTAATTTGTCACAATAGATCTTGTGTACAGAGCAGGGTTGTGACTTTTTTTTCCTTTAACTAGAGAGCTCTGAACTGCGCCTCTGACAACTTTGTGATAAGTAGCAAAGCATACAGATGCAGTGAAATTGAGATTTTACTGGAAATAGAATTTTCTCAATAATTTTTTTTCCTATTTATAGCATTTAGTAGTATTGTTTCTGTGTAAACTCTGTAAGATTAAACACCAATTGCAGTGGTCCTCGTGTTTCAAGAGTGAGTTCAGACTAGGAAGAAGCTTATCCCATAAAATAGTAATGATGTCTAGTGAAACCTGCCTAGCCAAGTTTTCTTACAAAATTCCCCTAAAAATACTGCTGTCTGATCGTATACTAATTTTGTTGTTGTTGTTGTTAAATGGATCTGAATAGGAGGCACTTATGTAATAAATATATTTATCCCAGTCATTTTGTTTGGATTTAGGGGGGTGGGGGAAGAAAGCGGTTTGGAGGGGTGAAAGGGAAGGCTTTGATTTTACATTAAGAAAAGGCTCTGAAAATGTTGCCGGATCAGTTGATAGATCTGTGTATCCACTCCTCTTTTGTGAAATGGAGATGATGATAATATTGTTTTTCATTATCTACTGTGGGTTAAGACCATTAACTGGTAATTTTCTAAATCTTGTAGCTATTTAACTACTAAAAAGCAGTCTTACAAAGAATACTGAAAAGCTTTAGTAGAAAGTGAGAACTTACCAAATGTAGTGGTGAAGTAAAACAATGTTTTAAAACAATATTAAACTATTTTAGAAGGTAATGGCTATCATAGGAGTATTGTAGATACCCACAGATCTCTAATATAGATACCTAATGGATGGATTTTGTGGAAAAACTGCACAAGCCAGGTTTGGTTCACCTTTTCCTCTCATCCAAATTACAAAGTAAGATTTATGCTGAACTCATTTTATATTGCTTTTAATAACAACCCCAATTTGAATGACTTTTAACAACACACTTAGATCTTTATTATGTGCTTTTTAATTTAGATCCTTGGTGAGAAAGGATGTGTCATGCTTATGGTGTATATGATTAAAAGGTATTATTTGCCACTAAATTTTTTTTTAATTCTTTTTCCAGGACTTAGTGATTCCAGACCACTGTTACTGAAATGATATTACAGAAGACTACGATTTTATTGTGTTGGTTGGATGAAACCCTAATATTTATTTTCAGTGAAGTGGGTAAAACCCCCTAACAGCAGTTTACATGTGTAGGTCACTGCGTTACTGTGTTAGTCATTGTCTCTATGCAGCAATGACAAGACTTGAAGAAGCAAACAGAGAAGTGAACATGCACTCATCAGTCAGATACCTTGGCTATCTTGCCAGAATCAACCTACTTGTTGCTGTTTGCATGGGTCTTTATGTCAGATGGGAAAAAACTGCAGATGCACTGATTTTGGTAATATTTATTCTGGGACTCTTTGTTCTTGGAATTGCCAGCATACTGTACTACTATTTTTCAATGGAAACAGCAAGTTTGAGTCTCTCCAATCTTTGGTTTGGTTTTTTGCTTGGCCTTCTCTGTTTTCTTAATAATTCTGCCTTCAAAACAGATGTGAAAGAAGAAGCTACTAAATATTTGCTCCTCTCTGCCATTGTTTTAAGGATATTATGTGCTTTGGTTGAGAGGATTTGTGGTTGTATCCATCATCGACCAACTCTGCTGACAACAGTTGAGTTTTTGGAGCTAGTTGGATTTGCAATTGCCAGCACAACTATGCTGGTAGAAAAATCTATGAGTATTATTCTGTTGGTCATGGCTTTGGCCATGTTGATTATTGACTTACGTATGAAGTCTTTTTTGGCAATTCCAAATTTGGCAATTTTTGGAGCCATTGCATCCTTACTCTTTTTTCCATCACTGCAAATCCCCACAAACCCATTTGCCTTGGCATGTTTCTTCAGCTGCCTGATTTCAGATCCCCTTCTCGATGTTTACTTCAGTGGACTTTCAGTTACTGAACGATGGAAGCCCTACTTGTACCGTGGTAAAATCTGCAGGCGGCTTTCTGTCATCTCAGTTGGAGTCATTGAACTAATCTTTTTCATTCTTGCAGCCTTTAAACTACGTGATTTGGATCTCTGGTATTTTGTGATACCTGGTTTTTCTATTTTTGGAATTTTCTGGATGATCTGTCATGTGATTTTTTTTATAACTCTTTGGGGTTTTCACACAAAACTAAATGACTGTCACAAGGTATACTATACCCACCGTGCAGAAAACAACAACCTTGACAGAGTTATGGCATCTAAAGGAATGCGTCACTTCTGTTTAATTTCGGAACAGCTAGTATTTTTCAGCCTTGTCGCGACTGCTGTTTTGGGAGCTGTTTCTTGGCAGGTAAATAATAATCTCTTTATCTTGATCTCCCTCTTGAGAATGGTCCTGAGACTTGCTGGCTTCTTAAAATTCCTGTGACTTTTGATGGTGTGCTGTGGCTCAGCAATTCAGATTTGGAACCCTTGGTTTCACCAACATGCACTTTGAATTTAACACTTTGTGCTGCCTTGACTGTGGCCTGTTAAAGCAACTGGAACTTACCAGCTTTCTTATGTTGGCAGAATGGAAGAGTTAACACTTCCAGGGCAAAAGAAGTGTGCAATTTTAAGTTGACCTATTTATGAAATTATTTTGCTTTTGAATTTATTGTGCCATAAAATTTTCAGAGTCAGTCCCGGTGTTGAACCCTAGTAATGTACGCCATATTGAGGGCTTTTCTTGTGGAATTTTAATTGAATCAAGGCAAATTCATGTTTTAAGAATGTATTTTTCAAGAATTTTGTTTTGCATTTAACCATTAATGTGGACTTAAAGATCAGCTGATAAACTGGTAAATTGTTGGTGTAGCATGTGCTCTAAGTGTCTTATTTTCAAATCTGGTTATGCACCACAAGATATGTCCTCTGAAAGACTAGTTCTTAAAATCAGACATCGTTCTTTGACTTTTCTTTCCATTTCTAAGTTAAGGACATTGTCTTTTCTTTAGCAGAAGGTATACATTTCTCTCAAAATGTTTGTTCAGTGTCCAAATTAAAGTACGTTGTGCATTGTCAGTTACAGCAGGGTGTTTGGTGACTGTTTTCTTTTTTAAGTTGGTCTAAAACAAGACCACAATCACTTTTGTACCCATGCATCTGTTAAATGTATTACATATATAATAATATATAAAAATTATATATTATTTATGGCAGATCCATTTTACAGAAATGTCTCTGTAGTGTTTCCTAAACCATTTACTGTCCACTCCTGCACATTTTCTTAGATTAAACAACTTCGTGGATGAAAGTTGGGAAAGGACTGTTATTTTGTGAGGTTTTGTGTGTTGTTCTTTTTGTTTGGTTTGGTTTTGGCTTTGTGGAGGGGGGTTTGTTTGGGTTTTTGGGTGGGTTGGGGTTTTTTTTTATGAAGAGCATTAGAGGTTAACAGACAAGCCTGGGAGGAAGGCTGGGTAGTTTTGCTCTTTCTTTGGAAAAGTATCAGCACGTATAGCTATAGTGTGGGGACTTGCAGAAATGACAAAAGGAAGAAATAGAACGAAAAAGAAGTAGAGAAAATAAATCCCCAAAATGTATTTACATAAAGTGAAGGTGCTAATGCACCAGAATAAATGGAAAAGTGGTTAGGGAGACAGAAGCAATAAAGATGGAATATCAGCATGCTGATATTGCTAACTTCCATGCATTTTCTTCTGAGAATTGGGTGATTTTATCAAAATCCTAGTCTTTAATTTTATCCAAATCCTAGTCTTTTAATTTTTATATGCCAGATGACTGTTTTTCAGTAAAAGCAACTTTTTATCATCTCTATCAGATAGTTTTATTAATTTCTCTGTCCTTGCCCTCCTCTTTTAACATCCTGAGACTCAATACTTAATAATGACATAGTTTTAAAATTACATGGATGGAATCACTCCACCTAGTTACACCTAACAAAGCAGTCAGAACAAATCAAGTGCGTAAGTTGTTCAGACAGTCGCTGGAAAGAGGCAGTTTCTTTTGGTGGTGCCCAGAGCCTGTCTGTAGGGAGTTTACCACCAGACTTGGACAGGATCTGCTGCTGTAGCCCTCCAGGGCAACAGCTCCCTCTCCCCATACCGTCTCTTTAAAGCACACAGGCATCCCTTAGCACTGCTTCAGTACTGTAAGCTGTGTGGGTAAGCAGGGAGGATTGGATTCGGATTCATACCCATCTTGTTACTTTTTTCTCTTCACATTTATGGATAAATTCATTGTAATTTTTTTCCGTCTCTGTCTTCTGCTGCAAAATACCTGCAACTGTTAACATGTCTGGTAATTTTCAGTCCTCTAATCTGAAGAAGTGCTCTGAAGTGACTTGTGCAGGACCATTCACAAGAAGCAAACTGGCAATGTAGCTAAAATCTTAGTGTTTGTTACTGGCTAATTTCAGTTTTTAGCGTCCTGTGTGTAAATAAGATAAGCTGTTGCTTACCTCCTCTGTCTGATAGGTTGCGTATTTGCCTATCAGTGGGAGAAGGAGTAATTGTAGTGACAAATGTGAAAAGCTTCAGACCAAATACTTTCACTTGTCAGGAAATCTGGGGGGGTTTTATTAGAATAATTAATTTTGAGTAGATCATTACATTTATGTTTCTTTTACTATTTTTATATTTCTTTCATCGCGTATTTGTAGTAATGAATTAGCTTTAAGATTATGAATGGCAGTGGTCTCCAACCAAAAGCATTTCTACTTCAAAAAACATCACGATGTTGTCCTTGCTGTGTCTGTTTCATCAGTTGTCAGAAAATGAAATACTTTATCAGACCTGGCCAGAACATAATTTAGTAAATGGACGTATCATTTATTACAGTAATTGCAGGAAGCTGTGGTCTTCTCTGTATTTTTCTGGATAGTGTCAGATTTCAAAATAATTAGAAGCAAGCAAGCAATGATGCATAAGCACACAATTTACTCTCTTGCAGGGAATTTGGGGTTTTTTTCTAGAGGTTTAAGGAAATGTGGTTTTTCTTCTTTGCAGGGAGAATTCAAGGCCTTAAAACTCTGCTTTAGAATCCTTTGCTGGATTTTGCTGTTTCAGGAGATCTAACTAACAAGCTCAAGAGAAATGCAGCAAACAAGCTTCTCCAGTGAATACGTACTTTTCTTATGGTGATTTATATTTATTGTAACAGTTAAAGAGACAAATCAGACTTAGACATGATCACTGTCAGCCTTTCCTCTTTAAAAAAGTATTAGTTATTGCTAAATACTTAGTGGTTTGGGATTTCAGGGTTTTGTTTGGTTCAGTTTTGCTGCAGAAAAAAGCTAGTGACATCAGTATGTGGTAGAAAGAGATCTTAGGGCTGTGTTAGATGCCTTTCTATGAAAGCATCATCTTAATGTTATTAGTGGTCAAAAAAGCAAATTAAATATTGAGAATTAGTAGGAAAGGACTGGAGGTATCATTATAGCACTGTATAAATCTGTAATTAAATATTCCATATTTTGAATAACTGCAATTCTTGTTTGCCATCCCATAGATAAGAAAACAAAGGTTTAGAGAAGGGCAACAAAATTCATTATAGACATGAAATAGTTTACATGGAGGGAATGAATAAACAAGGATGCTTCATTCAGGAAAAGAGAAAACTAAGTGAGAATATGATGAACATATAAAATATGTGTGATGTAGGAGAAGGTAAACAGTAAGAGACAATAAAGGATCAGTTTCAGTGCAGCAGTTGAGGGAACCAAGTTGGCAAGAAGCAGGTTAGAGCCAGACAGGTGGGAACAGTTCCTCATACTGTGCTGAGTTAGCTCTAGGGCTGTGTATCGCACCATGCTGCCTGTGCCAGGAGGTTGCAGAGGCTCAGGAGGAAGCTGGACAAGCTGATGGAAAGAAATTCACTGAAGTTGGCTTACTGTATGGAAACCACATCTTGCTTAGGAAGTCCTTGAGTCACCAGTGGTTGGAGTGCTCAGGAAACATGTCCTTACAGTGTTTCCTAGGCGTCCATTTGGCCTCTTTGGAGACCAGACATTCTTCTAGATGGACCTTTGGTGCAGCCCAATATGGCCACTCTTACATTCTTATATTATTGACATTTTTTTTACTTAAATTTTCAACATTTTTTCCTTAACATTCTCTTAGGAATGCCAAGTGTTCCTCAGTCACAAGTTCCTGAAAATGTGTTTGCTCTTTTTAAATTGTTTAAAATATTTTATATATGTGTAAGATTAACAGTTTTCAGTCTTTGAAACTTCAGTTTGGGATTTATGTAGTCATTTTAGTAAGTGCTAATAATATTTGAAATCTGTTAAGTGTCACCTGGAAGGTGAAGCATTTTTTATTTATACCTTTCCTCACTCTAAAGATGTACTGAAAGCTTGTTAAATGATACTGCATTTGATAAGAGGAGTGGCTTGAAATCACTTCATGGTCTGCCACTTGACCTCCTACATAATGAATAGAATTAGCTAAAAACCTGAGCCTTGGAAAGGTACTTCCTAATAGTCAGCTATAAATAATTAGCCATAGCATATAAAAAAAATCTAGCGCAGCTGTGTGTGTTAGGTTACAGTCAGAAACAGGGTGATGGAGGACAGGGGTTCTGTTTCATGAAAAACTTTGTTACAGGCACATTATATATGCCCTTTTAATGTTTTTAATAACTGTAATATCTGTGCATCATATAACTCTCAAGTGTATGAAAGGTCAAGACCTAAAGAGACAGTTATCTGCTAATTGGTGGCTAGAAGTACCCTATTTGATTAAAATTTCTGGAAAAATATCAAATCTCCTTTTATGGAAAGGCTTTTAAAGTCAGGTCAGTTAACTTGCTTTTGCACATACAGTGGTTTTCTGACTCATGCAGAACTGTTGAGGCTGGAAGTCCTGTTACCCAAGGACCTTTCTTTAAGAAGAGCTTAGCTCTTGTAATAAGCCAAGGATTGAATCTCTCTCTTCCTGGTGCTTTGGTATGTGCTTGGAAAGAACTGTGACTTCTGAAAGCAGAATCTCTGACAGATTGAGCTTTAAAATGCAAAGAGCAGAATTGTCAGGTCACTCTGAAGCTGGAGGATGAGTTCAGGAAGCACAAGAAGTGTAAAAGTAATTTGTTAAAGCTGGTTGCATTCAGGAATGGAGTACCAGCTTCTCAGTGGTGCATATTTCAGTTGGGGCATGATCTGCTTTTGAGAGTAATCCCTCATTTAGCTGCAGAGGAAAGACACCTTGCCTTGTTGGTAGAAATACATTGATATTTTCCTTGCAAAATCTGCTGGAAGTGTTCAGCACCTGCCTTTACATTTGTTTGAGTAATTTCAGTCAGATCAATAGATGCTTTAACTTCAATTTACTCATTTCAGCAATTACTCATGTG